GAGGTAAGATGTAACACGACACCACAATATTTATATTTTCAGCACAGAATTTGACTCTTGAGTCAATCTAATATCGTAAGACACGGCAGTGATGTTAAGCAGTGCAAGTCAAGCGGCTATTAAATCACACAGAAACACAAAAAAATAAATAAAAATTAATAGTGTTACAACGCTCTTTAACGTTATTCTAATTTAACGTTTAGATCATACTAATATCGTATTAAATTGTAGTGGTGATAAACAGTGTAAATCAAGCTACCATCAAATCACTCAGATATATAAAGACAAAATAAAAATCAGTAGTTGCCTGTTCATCTCTCAATGATGTAAAAGAAATAAATACCGTTCCTTAAATTCAACTTCTGTTATTCTAATATCGTAAAATATTGTAAAGGTGAAAGCGGTGTAAGACAAGCTACCATCAAATCACTGAGCAACATAAAGACAAAATCAAAATCAGTATTGTTGCACTGCTCATCTCTCAATGAGATAAAACAAGTCAATAACGATTATCTGATTTAACTTCTACATTATTCTAATATCATAAGATATAAAAGAGGTGATAAGCAGTGTACGTCAAGCTCAAAAATCAGTATCAATGCACTGAAATAAGTCAGTAACATTTATCTGATTTGACTTCTACGTTATTCTAATATCGTGAAATATAATAGAGGTTATAAGCAGTGTAAGTGAAGCTTTTATCGAATCACTCAGATATATAAAGACAAACTTAAAATCAGTATCATTGCACCACTCATTTCTTGATAAGATAAATAAATTAAATAACGTTTAATAACGTTTAATACCGTTTAATAACGTTCAATATAGTATAGTATCGTAAAACATAGTAGGTGTGATAAGCAGTGTGAATCTATTATAAAATCACTCAAAAACATAAAGATAAAATTAACATGAGATAAAGTTTAGAGATAAGAGATACAAGAAATAAAAAACATTTATCTAATTTAACTTCCAGCTCATTTATAAGTCCAAGAAACCTATACGAGTACTTTTATGGGCCCTCGTTAAAAATTTAATTCACATCTAGGCAAGAGTATAGCCCGATCAAAACAAATCAGGGGTGGGTGGCACACTCTGAGTTTATATTCGAATCAGTAAAAATGAAGTGTCATAATAAAATATAACGTATTTTTTGTATTTTTAGTTTAAGTTAAATTTTAGTATTTTTCAATCAATCAATGATTAAAGATATAATTTCCAAAGAACATTTCGGTTTCCAAGAAAACCTTTCCATTGAACTCCAGCTGGTTAAAATTTCTCAAATTACAACAAAAAAAGAGCTCAGTGAAGTGAATTCTCCAGATTTCGCTAAGATGTTTGATAAGACATGGCATAATGAATTGATCATAAAACTTAAAAATTATATTATTTCTGTTGAAATGATCAAACTTTTAGCTAAATTTTTTTTAAATAGAGAACTCTTGGGCAAAATCTAAAGCCACTATTTAACTACAAAGAATCATAATATTTATTGAATTATTAGTATATTAAATTAATAAATATAATCATATATTAATTGATAAATTACTGATCATAAAAATTCAAATCTATCATTTGGTCGCAAAGTAGTAATTTATATTGGTAGATATTCTTGGAAGTCTAGCAAAGGCAAAACTCATTTCCGGGCTTATCTTTATTCGACTAAAATTGTTTTCGTGCAATATCATATCGTATGTTATCGCATGACCACCTACTGCCTAGTACCATTGCTTTCGTTCCGTATTACCCGAGATTTTTAAATCAATGTTTTACATATCAATTCACTTTGATGAAAGATTAGAATGCAGATACATTTAAAGATTTTATTATCGATTTTAATTGCACTCACATTGAAATCTATAAAATCCTTTCTTAAAAATAAAATTATCTAACAATGAAAATTACCACATAATGCATTAAAACATTTCAAAATGAAAAGCATACGGAACTCAAAGCTAAAATATATAATATAATGCCATTCTTAAAGACACAAGTTCTCGTTTCTGTATTAGTACAGTGAACTGTGACTTTATTTAAAAATGTATTAAAATTAAGAGAATATTTAATAATGCAATATACTATATACTATATATGTATAAATTAGAATGCTGTTAATATGCACTTCCAATCTCTTGCCACCAAGGCAAATTACAGTCTTTGTATTGAAGCCGCATTCATAATTGCAGCCAAAGTTACAGTTTCAGTTTCAGTCTCAGTGGCAGTTGCAGTTGCAATTATGAAATTCTAGCAAAATGCATGCCGCTGTGTGCAAGAAATAATAAAAAATCGCGTGCAATTATTTGATACTTAATAAGCAATCAATGATATCAAAAACAAAATCTAAAATTTTAAAAATATTCAATTCAATTATTATTTTAGTTTAATACTCGTTACAATTGATTTCCGTTTTATTTCATTTGATTGAAAATAATCAGGCAATAAAATATTTTTGCTTTTTTTGTTTTGATTTGAAGTATTTGCATTATTATTTAAATAATAGATCAAATCATAGGCAACAGGTTGATAGACTATACCATACTGACTAGCTTAATACAAAACTAAGTACTAACAGATATTTTGTTCATTTTCATAAGTAGTAGATATAGTTGAGTTCGAAAGGTTATGTTATTGTTGGAAAGTGAAAGCAAATAAGCTCTTTTTAACTGAAAGGCTGCACAGATAGTTGATCACTAGAAGAACATTCATTCTTTTTTAAATCATTTTTAAATTTACATTTCATTTTTCACATAAACCTAACTTAAAGTCGACTTTGTAATCAGGAAATTACAATGCGACTATAAGAGCGATAGTTTCACTTTTCACATTAATCGTTAGAATGAAATACGATTAGTATGTTATTATAATTACAAATATTTTACTTTATATTTTATTAGTGGTGCCATTAAGTGACCTTAAAGCTAGTACCTTCAACTTTTCGAAGACCTTGCTGAAATGAACAGGGTTCACTTAAAATGAATCTCAGGACACAGTGGATCTAAGGGAAATGAGAAAGCAGACGAACTAACCAGAAAAGGCCTCATATCTTATTGGGCCACAAACATTCTGCGGTTCTTTATGAAGCTTTTTCAAACTTAAAAGTAAAGAATGGTTGGAAAGTGCAGCTCAGACTGATGGGGATCTGTAATTGCCTACAGACAAGCTTAAGAATTCATGCCGAATCGATCAAAAGCTAGAATAAGGGAGCTACTAATACTGAACAAAAAAGGCACTTGTCAAAGAGTTCTTCACTGAACATTACAGAGTCAAAAAACATCTATCGAATCTAGATATTACAAGAGACGTTAGCTGCAGACTTTGTTGCGAAGAAGAGGAAACAGCAAAACACATTCTGTCTCACTGTAATAGTCTCGCCATCCTCAGACTTCGGTACTTATCCACTCAGCCTATCCACTAATAACGGAAATAGACAACATCTCATAAAGGCGTTTTTAATTGTAACTCATCTATGGAACTAAAGTGGGTATGTCACAATAATCATTAAAGGATGCAGTGACGTGGTGACAAGTTCCTAACCCGTAATTAAATCTAATCTAATCTGATTATCAATCATCAATTAAAATTGTTGAAATTTAATTTGAATGCTAAAAAAACGAAAAAATATATAATATAACCATAACCATATAGTCATGATTAAAGATATAATTTCCAAAGAACATTTCGGATTCCAAGAAAACCTTTCTATTGAACTCCAGCTGGTTCAAATATCTCAAATTACAACAAAAAAAGATCTCAGTGAAGTGAATTCTCCAGATTTAGCCTGTTTGATATCGCTAAGATGTATGATAAGGCATGGCATAATGAATTGATCATAAAACTTAAAAATTATAATATTTCTGTTGAAATGATAAAACTTTTAGCTAAATTTTTTTTAAATAGAAATCTTTTGGGCAAAATCTAAAAATACTTTTAACCTACAATGAAAATTAAAAAAGTTGTCTCTCAAGGTTGCCGGATTATCCATTTATTGTATAATTTATATGCAACAGATTTGCCTTTGGAATTTATGTATTCCATGCTAAAAAAAATGCTAATTCTATTTACGGCTTTATACTGACAATATAATGAAATACTTTAATATGTGGAGAATAAGTTCTACTGCCTTGCAGAATTCAAGGTTAGTGGCGCATGTATACTTCTATAAAATTACTTGATAATAAGTTAATTAACATGTTTCAATGGAACACTCCTTACAATAGATCACAGACACTATCGAGTAAAAGTGTTTTAGGCATTTATTCGCTTTTTTTTGAAGTAAATAAGAAGCATAAAATGTTAAAAAATTATTATAAGTTTATACTTTTTATATTAGAGTGCTATCAAGACCAGATACATTATCTGTGTAAAAATAAACATCGATAATTAAACTAATTAAAGAGGCTCCAGTTCATAATTCTCCAGAAAACAATGATATGAATATGATAATTATTTTGAATATTTTAAAAATTATTATTTATAGAGTTATGTAGAAAAATGGAATTATAAAAATCAATTAAATAAGTATTAATATTCATTCACTAACTTAGTTTCGTTTAAGTCTGTACGTTGGAATTTCCTGTGAGCAAATACGAGAGATAATTAGGTATATAAAATATACATATATAAAAATACATATTTGATTATAATATATATCTATTGTTATAATTGCACTAATGTATTATTTTAAAATAATTTTAGAGTTTTGCCTTTCAAATCATTTAATTATTTTGAACAATAACAAAGAAATCCCCGCTTTCAGCTATTTTAACTTTAAATTTTAAGTTAAAATTTTAAGAAGAAACGAAAACATTCATAAAGCTTTATAACTGAGTTTCATTTTTGTGAAAGATTAAAATTTAAACAAACAAATTCTTGGAAACATATTATAACTTTATAATTATCATTCTTATTTATACGCTTTGGACGATGATTCTTATCAACTAAACAAACATAGTTTCTGTGTTAACAACACTTCCATTTGAGATACAAAACGACAGACTTACCAGCAGCAAAAACAGCAATTTTAAATACCAGCAAAAGTGTGCCATTCCGATTGGATCGCTCTTAAAACACCGCAGACTCCTTAACTTTCTGCGCTGGATCTCAGCCTTTTGTCTCTGTATTTTCCGAATTTTTTTTAAATTCTTTTTTTTTTTTGTTTATTGTAAAAAATTGTATTTGTTTTTGTTGATTTAATTTGGCCAAAAGATGAAAGCAAGTCAATTCAAAATTCACTCGCCTTGGCTTTATGATTCACTGTTACACTTTGAATCATAATGCAAAGGCTGCGGCTAAGCCCGTGGCCCATTGGAAATGTCTGTACATTTTGGCCCAAAACTCAAGTGATCTACGTTGTACCTTTGTTGTTGTTGTTGTAGCAGTTTCTGTTGTTGCAACTGTTGCTGTGGCTGTTGCTGTTAGTATTTGACTAAATATGTAAATGTTGATAGATTGTGTGTTTTGTTGGTTTTAATTTGTGGGTGTAGGCGCTGCTCCTGTTACTGCTGCTCGACTTTAAATCTAAAAGTGAAAAATTGTTACACAAAAATTAGTCCATGAAAAACAAGTTAAATTTTAAGTTAACAGATAATAAAAAAAAATTAAATAATTATAGTGTTTCACTGTTTATAGGCAGTGAAAATAGAAAATAACTACTGCATTATATAATTTTTCGATTTTATTATAAATGATAAAAATATACACAAATGACATGCAGAAATATAGATACATATATTTGCATATTACTGATAAATGCCATATTTTACTATGTATTTCAACATAGAAATAGTTAAATATATCTGTTGAAAAGTTTCCATATAACAGCCAATTAGTCATTAATAACTATTAAATTCAAAAACGAATTCATATATAATTTCTATAAAATAATGTAGAAAAAAACAAGTTTAGAGAAAAATTAAATACCATAAATAGTAGAAACTATCTCTTATGTGTTGCTTTTCATATGTTAATAACTAATAAAGACTTAAGCTGAAAAAAAAATCCCAAGTATGTTTTACTTATAAAATTAAGTAACTCATGGAAATTGTTCTTATTAAAAACTTGGTGTACTTATAAATAATTCTCTGTTTCAAGAATAACGAAAAAACCACAGAACTATAATGACAACAGTACATTACCGTTTCATTCTAAATAAAAAAATTCTGTAAAAATGTGTAAAAAATTTAATTCATGACATGAAATATACATCTTCTAATGAAGTTTAAAAAAATATGCATACATATAACTAACCAATCTGAAATATCATGGTTAATATCCATCGATATCAGTCCGAATAGCTCAATAATAACCATACCATGAGACTGACATCGCTGCTCAATAAGATCACTTGATTTTTTCATTAAAGTGGAGTCAAGTTGGTTACAGATACTGTTGCGTTTATACTTAACTATTCCATGCAGAAGCGTTTAAATGACACTTGCGAAATACTCAGATATATAGTATATAACTATATAACTATATATTTTTAACAGATATTCTTTATATATGGCTAATAATTTTCTATTTATAAAGGCAACATCATAACATCCTTTACAGTCTCGTAACGAAGAAGAGTCAATTACTGTCAGTCTCTCTGCGAGTGCCCATATTTGAATAATGTAAGGAAGATGTATATTGTAAGTAAGTACTATCTCAATAGTCTATCAGACTGTTTATCAGTAATAACAAAAGATCTTACCAATGTAAAATATATTAATGTTTGTTATAGTCTCATGAGCACGTCAAAAGTGGCTCTTTCGGGCTATAAAGAAAATGCATGTTATACAGAGTGTCACACCAGTTCGTTAATTTTTTTTACTATATATGTATTTTTATTATTACTTTAGTACTTTTTGGTTGTATATAAATTTTAAAGAATATATATACATACACACATTTGCTGTTTTCTCTCACTCTCAGTTTTGTGATTTACATTTAAAGTAACAACAATTTTGATTTTGGCATGTCCGTGATACTTTACATAACATGAGCTTAACGAAGAAGAGGAATTTACGCACTTTCTCAGCGACTGCCCTACTTTGGCTAACAGTAGGAACAGATTTTTAGGGAAGTACTTTCTTGATAGTCTGTCAGACTGTTTATAAATAAGTTCAAAAGATAAAGTCGATCTAGTTATCTGTTGGGATTTCTTAAGAGAAATGTGTTATTAAGACGGCACATAATCGATAATTATTAGAAACAAAGTGTTGTCTGCCAAACAGCCAAGGCACCCAACCAAGTAACTGTCTCGTGTTTTTATTACGAAGAAACATTACTGAAAAGGATCAATTGAGAGCTTATATCTATCATTCATAATTACGCCATGCATATCTACAAATCAGAAAGTCAACTGATTTTTTGTCACACCCCAATATACACGCAATATACACAATCCTGCAATATACATTCATTTTCTGAAATGGATGTCATATACAATAACTTCCCTTTAGTTTCTTCAGATTTCCTTACCTTTTTAAACACAGCTTTAATCTGTTAAGATATGCTTCACTTTTGCATTAAATTTAATGCAGAAAAATAAGAATTAAAATTGATGAATTTGTTGCTCATCATTAATAGATATAACAAATGATCATTATCCCACATTTTCCCACTAAAACCATCTAAATCAATCAATGGAGAACTTATTCAATTTCCATTGTTTTAAAAATCAACAAGGAATTCATCGATCTATATTAAAGTACCTATACAAATCATGATATTTTCAGATTCTATTTAGAAATATATGGTTCCTTTTCCGTGTGAACCTTTACATTTTTTCAATATAATTATATTGGAAATTATATTATATATTATATAATATATATATATTAAATATATATTATTTTTTAATATTATTGAGACATAAATTTACTTTGTGAAGTATTCTCTTCAAAATAATAAAAGGACTCGCTTTTAATTTAATATTTTTGACGTCTTTTAACAAAGAAATTAATGGACCAATAATAAATAGTCTCAAATTCTAAGTTAGTTATTTCTAATAGAAAAGATAATGATACCTTAAAATCAATAAAATGCATAATGCTATTAATTTCTTACTAACAGAAATCAGGTCAGTGGAAAAGTATGGGTCTCAATTAAACTTTAAGACATTGATGTGATAACAGCAAAATTGAAGTTCATTTAAATGTCTTAATATATATAAAATTAAGAATTTCAATATATATATTTAAATACACAATAAATTAAATAATAATAATTTTATTATATTTGCTTGAAAATAGTCATTTTTTAAACTTCAATAAAAAAAAATCAGCAAAATTATAATGATAAAGCAATTTTAAAAATTAAAAAAAAATTAAATAATTTTAATTTAAAAGTAATATGATAATATGATAATTTATTCTGTATTAATTATGCTATAACTACTTGTCTTTAACGAAACATTAACGAAAATATTTAATGTAGTCATTTTTTCATCATATATTTCAATTAAATTATAATTTTTTTTTTTTTTGATAATTAAGCTATTTCTGCTTACACAACAATTGATCGTCAATTCAATTATCAAAATCTGCGAATCAATCTATTTACTTTTAATTACGTTATATGATTGGTGTAATTACCTATTAAAGTCGTCTCTCATTCAAAGTTTATCTAATGTTTTTAATCACGAATTCCATCGCATTATCTCAACCAATTGTATCCATGTTCGAAACGCTTTTTATTATTATTGAGTAAATATAAAAATCATTCACCCATCGATGATTTTTAACTTTTACTTTTTAAACTCAAATAAATACCTTTAGAAACACAAAAAAAAAAAATAAATAAATAAATAAATAACTTTAAAAAAAAAATTTTAAACAAATTCATTATAAATGAATTAAACCACAAAAAAAACTGATAAATTAAATGTGAAATAAAGTATCTAAAGGCGATGTGAACAATTAAGTTTTCAAAACGTGTAGATGTCACTCTATAAAAAAAAAAATTAAAAAATTTTTTAAATAACAAAGATACAAAATAATTAAAAAATAACTGACACGAGCTGAAATATGTACTAATGCGCATTTACTCAAGAATATGTAAGAATACGTTTTTTTTTCTCAATATATATTAACTTATGTATGTGCAAATATAAAAATAAACATTAAATAAATAAATAAATATACTAAAAATAAATGAAATTAAATTCTTTAACTACACGTACAGTACTTAATTGCAACCTTAAACTTGGACAAACTTGGAATTTCTTCACAATGTTTGTCTCTTTGAAACATCCATAAATAGCGGCTCCCTTCACTTTTCTGTACGTACTGTACGGACTGTACGGAAAGAACTTAAACATCACTCAACAGCTGAATTATTTAAAGTTGATTAAAAGATTTTAATTCGATAAGAATATAATTAAAGCAGCAGCAAGTAGATAGCAGCGAGTAGCGAGCAGTGAGCAGCTAGCAGCTAGCGGCTAGCGGTTAGCGGCTAGCAGTTAGCATCTCGCACCAAATAAAAAAGTTGCTTAGTTGATATCTGGCAGAAGCTGTTAAAATAAAAATTACGGATTAAAGCGTATTATCGCTGAGGGAGCATCGAGTTAATAAGTTGACAAGAACGGGTTCTTCAAAAATTATCAAAATATATTAATCATTTTAGTCCCATTTTTTCATGTTTTTTCAAATATCTTTTTTTTTTGAAATTATTTTTTGTTTTTGTTATATTTTCATTTTTTCTTGTATTTTTTTATATATATACATATTTTTTTTTTATGCCAGACATGGCTTTAATTCGTAAGAATTTTACTTACGCAAGTTAAAACAGCGTTTAAAAAAAATATAACCGGAAATTAATCGAATAAAAATTTTTAAAAATTGAATAATAACAATGGAAAGGTGGAGCTGTGAGTAACATTTAAGATTGAGCAATTTTATGAATTCAATTTTAGTTAACAATTAGTCAGTCGACACACAATTAAAGAACTGAACTCAAATGATTGATTTACTATTTCAAAAGACTTTGGGAAAAGGAAACTAAAGCCAAAATAAATAAATTAAATTGTTAAATTAAGTATTCAAACAAAAATCAGTAAAAAGGGAAACGTTTATTTTAAGAGATGAATTTTCATTTAATTTACAGATACAAGGATGAAACCCTACTTTTACAAACTTCCAGATACTCACGACACAAAAAAATGTTTACATGACGTTAAAACTTTAAAAATCGTTAACAGTTATATGATGAATTACAAATAAATTAAATTAATTAGTATTAGTATTAAGAAATAGTTTAATAATAAAAATGTTAATATAAGGATAAATACAAATAAGGAGAACAGACAGGGCAATGATGTGACTATAATACTCGCACAAACGATTATAATGTAGTCACTAGCAGCGGCGGATAGTCAATCCAGTCGAAACTTACTTCCTGAATTTTAGACATGACGACTACCAACCTCTCTATCTTAATGAAGTAAATTTAATAAAGCGATTTTTGTCTGAAATTTTTAAGCAAATGTACCATTTGCTCCTTTTATATTGTCCATATTAGTGCTGCTATCTATC